TGAGAGTAGCCTTTCATACCCAGGTAAATAACAAACTATAGCAAGAGCATGGAATGCGAACTCTTTGACTTTCTGGGGTGCTACCCAACGTCATCTGCATCTAGGAACGTCCGCACCTTTGCTTTCCTGTCATTGGTCTATATATCTCCATGGCTTTCCGTGCGATGACCTAATATATAAAAGGATTTTTGCGGTTACGAGAGGTTCCGGCGGTACCCACTGGAGGTAGTGTAGGTTTACGCTAGTTCGACTCAGTGGGGTCGCAGACGAAGGTGTGCGTTACCCAAAGAATTCTTATAAAACATGTCGGAAATCGAGCGTTCGGTTGATGCACCGGAAGAGTAAAAAGTAGGGATACAAAGATTAAAGGTTGAATTTGAATCCGAAATCACTGGAGAGTCGCAATTTTTTGTGTATCGTAGTTCTTTTCTATAAAGTTTTTGGTTGGATGGTTTCAAGTCCTTTATTTTGAAAGCTTTCACAGTCCCATCTCGGATGTCTCGCACGATGACACTATCAGTTCGCATGATGAGACCGTACTCCCAATTCTTGTGAAGGGTTTTACTAGGATTCCGCCTAACAGAAGCACGCACTATTCACAAATTTCAGACTAATGGAAGAATTATTATGTCTGTTCTCACCTATCTTGGTAGATCGACTTGGAGGCTGGCATCATACCTTAACGCAGCTGCAGCCTTGGTTACCCTGAGCATCATCGCGTTCTTGCCGGAAAGTCCGATGTGGTGCAAAAGAAAGGTGTGCCGTCACACGTGCGACTGACTCTGTGGTATGCGAACGAATAGCTTAATCTTTTTCAGGAGAAATTTGAGAAGGAACGGAAAGCCAATGAACGAATGGATTGGATCAAGGGATTTGAACCCAAAAGCAATAAGTCCGAAGGTTCTCGTGATTCAGTCGTTCAGGGTATTTAAAGGCAGTTGGCACGACAAATCGCTATACAAATGTAGGATTTGCGACTGGCTTGACAGAATTCCTTGACCTCGGGCAGGTCCCCACTCCACACCTTCCTCCGTGGCGCCTTTTCAAGGAGGGTACCCCTATAACGCCCTATCGAGCAACAACATTCCGTCCCAAACGCCTTCCTCGCCCGCCCGCCCACAAACGGACGACCGTTTCTGACGCTCGTATTCATTCATTTGCTAAGCAAATTATGAAGCGAAGGGATTGGTATGAAGCGGCCGTGATGCTGCATGCATATATGGGTACACATATGCAGCCGTATCTTCGGTAGCGGTGATTGGCAAGATGCGTACGGGAAACTCGTCCGAAATCGATTTTCAAGTCACTGAGAACGGAGGCTTTTTCTTCGCCGGATTTTGACCGTTTCACTCCGTTCTTTCGCTATTTCCCCACTACATAGTGCCCTAATAGCATTTGAGGCG